CAGTAATCCAGGTAAAAAAAATCAAAAAGAAAAAAAAACACATTACGGCAAAAGGCTGGTTCACCCCAAAGATCCGGTGCCCCGGCACAAACAGAGCAATGTTGTATAGGCTGTTAAGTGCCAGGAGGACTGCGACCAGTTATACATCGGGGAAACAAAGCAGCCACTGTTCAAAAGAATGTCCCAACACAGACGAGCTACCTCTAATGGCTAAAACTCTGCAGTTTTCACTCATTTACAGGCCAGCGGTCACTCTTTCAGAGATGAGGATGTTCTCATACTTGATAGAGTGGAACGTTAGTTTGAGAGAGGAGTAAAAGAAGCCATTTTTGTGAAGAAAGACCGTCCATTATTAAACAGAGGTGGAGGCCTCCGTTTTCAGTTGTCCCCCTCCTACAGCGCGGCAATTGCCAGTATCACTCCACCCCCTGTTAACAATAGGTGTTAATTAGGTGTCAATAATAGCCATGTGATGTGAGTATCAGTCACATGGATGCAGTGCTTAAAAGCCTGAATTTTGCCTAAAACTCTCAGACTGAATAAGTCTTGGAGGAGAGACGAAACGTTTCATTAGAGAAGAACCCGTCCAGAAGACCTTTACAGTTTTTTCTTTTTGATTTTTTACCTGGATTACTGAGATGCATCAGGACAAAATGAACTAACATTTTAAATGATTGTGAGAAGACAACAAACTGTCAAAGATGACTCCTGGATTTGTGAGAGTTTTCATTGTAGGAGTTAAAAAAGCAAGGTGATGCACAATTAAAGCAAATGTCAGTGTTCTCACACAGATCTTGCCTAATTCCATGATCTGCCTGCTCCTCACATGGTTCTCGTTGCCTTTCTGACCTCTGGATTTGTTTGCCAATTTCTGCCTCCTCATGAATGACCCTCYCCCTTCCACTCGGACCATGATTCAAGCCTGTCTCTCTGAGCCACGTTTCAGCTTTAAAGGCCTCTCTCTCCAGTGGTTTTCCTACCACTTGAAGTGATGTCATCGACAGCACTGAAATCATTTCTCCAGGGCCTGGAATTGGTTTCTGCAAATACCATGCCCTTCTCACTTTCCTGAAAAGGTTACTGGCCAGTTTTCTGATCCTCGATGTGTTCTCTGAGATTTATGCACTTACCTGTTCTCTCTTCCTGTTCCAGAGAGAGGCTCCAGATTCCGATCAGTTGCTTTGTTACCTCAGCCAAGGGCGAGGTAATGTTTTCAGTCGCGTATGTCTGTCGTTCTGTCATTCTGTCTGTGGACAACATTACTCAAAAACTTGTGGACAGATTGTCATGACATTTTTTACCACATGTGGGTACTGGGCCAAGGAACACACCTTTAAATTTTGGTGATGCTCCGGATCACGATGCAGCTACAGGATTTTGTTTTCTTTTAACACTCTGAGAAAGGCAAAGCTGTGATGCTTTCACAGGGCTTCTGTAAAAAACAGTGAGCTGGATTGGACAGCACGGACCTCAACCTTTATAAAAGTAATGTTAAAACCAGATTTAATGATGAATAAATTTTGCCATAATATGCACATTTACAGAACGTTTTGTGACCAGGAAGTGCATGACTGCACCATGAAACCTATTTTTCCCATTTCCTCAAACACACCACATTTCCGAAACAACCAATCAAAACAGTTTCTCTCTACTAGGCTTGTAAACAGAGAGCTGCCGGTTCTCAAAGTTTGGAGACGGGGGGAGCCAGGAAGCACTTTATAAAGAGAGTCAAACCATTACAAACTCATACAAGGGGATAAAACAGACATTTTACATGGTGAAATGTGACTGATGAAAACTTAGGAGCTTAATCTGACACCAGTTTGATGATGAATAACGTCGGGTGACGAGTCTGACTTTTCTTATTTTCACATTGGACTCCACTGAGAAGAAACTCCATGCATACTGCCTGCTTAAATGTTCGTTACGTCAGAACTTATTCTGTAAATGTGTTTCCATCTCTGATTTTGCACATTAACTCTTACAGGATGGGGGAAATTGGTCTTGGCGGAGGTTTGCACTCTCCGAGTGCTTCTAGTTTTAATAAATCTTTTTTTATGTCCTCTATGTCTGGTGACATACTTAAATTCTGAACCTAGTTCTTGTCACACCCAGGCTAAACAAAGAAGAATTTATCAGCTTTATAACACTTGGACCAAAAGGGTTAAAATATAGAGATATGGGGAGTTAGAATACTGTGACCCACACCACTTGGGTTATATTTGTGCACAAAGCAGCTTGCATGTGCATGTAGAGTTTTGCCCTTAACTTGTCAGATTCACAAATTCATGCTGTGCGAACTGATTAAAATATACCATAGTTCATTTCAACTCAGAAAATGGACATTTACTCAGTTCGCTTGAGTGGAACCAGTTGACATTAAGTAAATCCAACACTTCTGTTTTTGAGCGTATGTTTATTATTGCCTGTCATTATGAAATACATTATCATSTCATTCCCAGGCTGTGTCTTTGTTAGCAAAACATCTCATCAACCATTTGATGCATTTTAATGAAACTGAGTAATCGTTAGTACTGAAAAAGTCTTAAATGCAGCAAATATACTGGAACTGACACATGGGGAAAATTTTTAAAAGATTTATTTGCAGCATTTATAACAGATTGAAAAATGAGCAATCTAAATTTGTCTCTAGAAGAAAGAAGAGCATTAGTAAATATCAGTGGTGGGCAGCACTAATCTAAAAATTAGTTCCACTAGCCCAAAACACTAACTCAGATATTTAGGTCCCCTAATTCTAAAGCACTAATGCACTGAAAGTCTTAGCAAAAGCTAATTCTAAAGCACTAAAAGTATCCAGTCAACCCATGAACATTCACACAACAGACAATATGACTCACATATTGACATGCTGCTCTCTTAAGACTTATCACTGACATTCCACAGCTGTATTTGGATTCATATATTGTCACCTAGTGGATCAGTGACACATATGAACAAAATGTGACAGCTTTCACCATAAGCTGTTAACATTAARGTTGGTCAATAACATTTATTGACCTCAGTTAGTGCTTCTAAATTTAGCAAGTGCTAATCCACTAATAAATGATAAAATTAGCAAAAGCCCTAAAGCACTAATCAGGAAATTAATTCTCCAATTAGTGCTTTAGTGCTTTAGGGGAACTGTGCCCACCACTGGTAAATATCCTAGTAATATTTCAGTTGAGATGGTGAAGAGTTGGTTAATCATACTTGTTTGTTTCCTGACAGGCTTCAAAGAGGAGTACAGAGGTTCCAGGAGTACAGGAGAAGAGGGACAGTGGGTCAGGCAGGTAAGTAGAAAGGGTTGATCAGGAAAACCAGAGACAATGTACAAGTTTTGGCTTACTCTCACTTCAGCTAATGAGACACTGGCTCTCTTTATAAAGTCTTCTTGAAACAGTGCTGTCTCGTCACTCTGTCCACAATAGTCTTAGCCTGGACTGGCTGCTCACCTAGTAAAAAAATAGGAAAAAAAATTAAGTAGCTCATTTAAAATTGGAATTGTCAGTGTCTGAGTTTATAAAGTTGTTACATACATTCCATCACAATTAATATTTTACAACATCATAGGGTTAAATCACTTCAACTGAAAAGATCCAAGCAGAAACAAGTAAAAGACACTGGTTTAATTTTGAAAGAGGCAGAAAAAAACTAGTTTGTCTACAGGAAGAATGGGGTGAGAATTAATGGTTTTATAGTGAGTACTAGGGCTGTGTATTGGCAAGAATTTGGCGATACGATACATATCATGACAGAGGGGTCACGATACGATATATCCTGATATATTGCGATACTATAAGCAAGGCGATATATTGCGATTTTTTTGTCCAAAAATTCTATTAAATAAAAACCTCTTACAGGGGAAAAAATGAAAAACCAAAATTCATTGTCTCAGAAAATTCTAATAATACGTAGACATACTTTTGATACATTCAGCTGTGTTCTGCTTTGTTTGTGTTTTATTTTATTTGTTTCATATTTCTTATTTCATCCATGTTTTCAATTATTAGACTAAATTTGCCAATAAATAGTTTGAAAATGTATTTTTTGCAGCTTTTAGTTTTTAATATTAATTTACAATATGGTCACCCAACACTAAACAATAGCCTCTACCTCAAGAGGTAGAGGAGCCAAATGGCTGGCTCACTGCTGCCAACTAGTGGTCAGAGGCTGAACTACAACATAAAAATGAACGGCTGGCAGGAAAGTTGACATTTTAAACCTTAATAAAAAAAATCGATACAGGGCCTTAGAATATCGATACAGTATCGGGAAATGAAATATCGTGATATTTCAGTGTATCGATATTTTCTTACATCCCTAGTGAGTACAAACAAATTATATTATCTTGAAKTGATTGTAGACATGTCTCTTGTGGGTTTTAGGTCCCTGAGGAGGAGGTGGGTTTTGGGACCCAGGTCAAGGGTAAGTGACAGATGTTGGAGTGGGGAGAGAGCAGAGCTGGCAGCCTGTGATTAAATGCTGAGCTGACTTCTCTTTTGGAGGGGCTTCCAGTAACTGAGAATTTCTAAAGGAAAGGCTCTCATCAGTTTCACCAGGAAGAGGAGTTGACTCACAGACAAAAAAAATGTCTCGGCTCAGCCTTAAATACCCTGGTGACGATCAGCTCTCATGAAAACAGCTGAGATCAGCTCCACCCAGCAGGAAAGACTATCTCATCCTGCAACAAAAAGGATTAAAAACATCAGAGAAACACTGAATCCTAATACATGCTCAGATTGCTTAATATTGAGTGCAGAGTACAACTTTTACTGTCCAATTCATATTTGTAATCATTACAAGACTGATTTCCTCCACAGATATTGTTCAGATAGAATTAAAGTGTCCTGTGTTTGGTAATGAGAGCCTCGCTGCTTATTGTCCACAGAGCTCATTGCAGTTTGTAATAAGGTTGCTGTACCTTTGTAAATGGTCTGTGGCTGCTGCAAAACACTAACCAGGCTGCTTCGCTGTGATAAGAGAAGAAACAAGGGGGCCCCACACGTCACGTGATGCATGACACTAACCAGATATATGAAGAATCTGAACTGGAGTTGGCAAAAAGTAAACACATCTTTTAAGAATGTTTTTAAGTGTTGCTCTTTATGAAAGACATTACATCTGGACAGTTCCTGACAGACATGGTCACACCCTGTTGCACTTCAGCCAAATTCTTTTGAACAACTTCCTTCTCTGTGTCATTCATAATAACTTGTGTAAAATGGTGCGTTTTGATGTCTGATAGTTTAAAGAGTCCATAATTGGTTTAAAAGCAGGTGTTTCCAGCTGTTACACTGCACTCCTGGTTGCAGAGCAAATATAACCTTCAGACCACTGATCTGAATTCTGTAAAATGTCTTTATGCTTAAAAAAAACAGAAAACATTGTGTCTTGTTACAAAAAAATCACTGAGTTTATAAATGAAGTGGCGGAGCTAGAATTTTTCTGAGTAAGGGGCCATCAAGGGGCTAAATATTCATACAAGGGCCAAGTATTGGTTCAGCATCCTTGCTGACAAAGCCCCAGTTTTGTATGYTGTTCACATTTAATCAGTCATACACGTTTAAACACGTATGTAAAGTAACTTAAAAAAGCTTGCACAGTAAATTCTGCTTGCCAACTTTGCATGCATTTTTATTCTACATAGACAAAATAATCTTAATCACACAGCATGTGACAAAATCCAGCAGCAGTTTGTCAGTTGAAAGACTTTTTCTGCAGGATTGTTCAAATTTTCTTAAAAGAAGTAGATTTCTGTGTGATTCAATGCTGGACTTTTCTGCTTGGCTCATGAGAGCCACAAGTGTTCGGACATAAAACGGCATCAACCATCATTAATCTCAGGCAAAGGACAGATGACAGGGGTACTTGAGGGGGCCAATTAGATTTCACTTGGGAGTGATGCCCCTAAAACTACCCCTGAAATGAACTGCATGTTCAGCACTTTGAGTTAAGTGACATTTAAAAAGTACTAGAGATCCCAAAAATACCATCACCACCCTTTCATTCTCTACGGTACTGTAAAAGCAGTCTAAAGTGGTTTATATGGAAAACCAGCAAAACAATGAGGGTGGGGGACAAAAAAAGCCAAAATTTGATAAAGTTAATAAGAGATCTTGGAACTTATCAGTGGGGCTCTCCACTCAGGCTATTTTTAGACCATCAGTCACTTATCTAAGTTTGTGTGTGTACAAACACTGGTACCAACTAGGCTTCATAGGGATCAACCTTTACTTCTCTTCTTCATTCTATAGCCTCACAGCGTTCTACTGCAGTCAGTCATACATACTATGATAATATTACCTCTTACACACATTTTGCATGTCACTTAAGTTTTTTGAAATGATACAGAAGCAGTGGCTCAAGTGCATACGCACACACTAGATGTGGCAAGCACAAGCTAGAGCACCTGTAAACGACCCAACCTTCTAAATAGTTCCACCCGCTTTCCAAGGCTGTCGAAGACCTCAACCCTCCAGCCAAAGTTTCAACTCCTGTATTTCCTGAAGTCAGATGTGTTGAACTTCATGCTGGAAATGTCTTTTAATGTCATAACACCACTGAGTCTCCATTAAATCCATGCCGCTTGTACAATCAATAGGGCTGCATGTGAAAGAGCAATGTGCAAATATATGATGTCATGAGTGGAGATCGCCATTTTTAGAGAACGTTTTCACTTTTGAAAAACAGAATAAAAGAATAGACCATTAAAGGCTGARGTTGGCTACCAAAGTACAATAAAAGGTACAGGTGGCTAAATCATTAGTCATCTGTGCAGTTTTTCACCAAGGCAAAKGGGCATGAATCTGCACAGAAACGTCGCACCACTTATAGCAAGCAAAATTTACTGTGCAAGCGTGTTTGCCAGACACTGCTAGTCCCCTGAATTGTAGCAAACACTTCAGCTGTGTATTGCTGTATCTGTCAATACAATCAAAGTTGATTTGGCATCCCGGAACGTCCTCTTCGTTTAAGTTTACATGGATTAATGCAATAGAGTCGTTTATCATGTGTTCAGTCTACTGCGTTGTCTGACATCTGGAATTTAAGCATTCCCAAGAATTCTTGTGACGTCATCCCTGATCAACACATTGACCCAAAACATAGTACAACTAGAAGKACTCGGAGAGTGCAAACCTCCGCCAAGACCAATTTCCCCCAAGAGTTAATGCGCAAAAGCAGAGATGGAAACACATTTGCCGAATAAGTTCTGACGTAGTGAACATTTAAGCAGGTAGTATGCACGGAATTTCTTCTCGGTGGAGTCCAATGTGAAAAAAAGTCAGTCTTGTCACCCAATGTTATTCATCGTCAAACTGGTGTTGGATTAAGCTCCTAAGTTTTCATCAGTCACATTGCACCATGTAAAACGTCTGTTTTATCCCCTTGTATGAGTTTGTAATGGTTTGACTCTCTTTATAAAGTGCTTCCTGGCTCCCCCCGTCTCCAAACTTTGAGGCCCGGCAGCTCTCTGTTTACAAGCCTAGTAGAGACAAACTGTTTTGATTGGTTGTTTGGAAATGTGGTGTGTTTGAGGAAATGGGAAAAATAGGTTTCATGGTGCAGTCATGCACTTCCTGGTCACAAAATGRGCATATTATGGCAAAAATTATTCATCATTAAGTCTGGTTTCAACATTACTTTTATAAAGTTTGAAGTCCGTGCTGTCCAATCCAGCTCACTGTTTTTTACAGAAGCCCTGTGAAAGCATCACAGCTTTGCCGATCTTAGAGTGTTTAAAGAAAAAAATTCCTGTAGCCGCATAGTGATCCAGAACATCACCAAAATTTAAAGGTGTGTTCCTTGGCCCAGTACCCACATGTGGTAAAAATGTCATGACAATCTGTCCACAAGTTTTTGAGTAATGTTGTCCACAGACAGAAGGACAGACAGACAGACATATGCGACCGAAAACATTACCTCGCTCTTGGCGGGGGTAAATATAAGCTCATATGCACTCATGTTTGCCTACACGAATACACAATATGAACAACCATGTTTCCAGTCTGAATGGCATTGATCACACTGACAGACTGACCCTGATTTAAAGTGACATCACTTCTCAGCAGTAAACACTTTTCTCTTCATTTAAGAATGGAAGTCTTTGTTCGTCTCTTGTCATCGCTTTTAGTCTGGTTATGTCTGTTGGACCAGTAAGGAGTGAACCCGCTGACACAAAACTAACCAGCGAACAGAGTACAAAGATGAGAACAATCACACAAAACCACAGTGATCTCAACAAAACCCAAAGACCATGACAGAGGAGAACTCAGAAGAACTATTTCATCCTTTTTCTGTGCCAATATT